CCCTGCCTGGTGTGGCGGGGGGAGGGTGTTTTCATCTGGCCCAGCAGCAGTTTGTGCCCTGCTGCCACTCAGCCTCGCAGCCGAGCCTGGAGCCAGCACAGGACCAAGACTGGTAGTGGCAGTGAGGAACAAACTGTGACTGAGCGCAGGGGAAAAACAGCTCCTCCCACTGCTGGCACTCCCCACGGCATGTGCTTGGAGCCCACACAGGGCTGCCTGTGCCTGCTTTCCATTGCCACTGCTGTCCTGTGGGCGACAGGGATGTGGTGGAGAGGCAGAACAGCTCTGCATGGGTTCTGAGCAGCTGTGTATAGAGCACAAACACACATCAGATCAAAAATACATTTTTAAAATCAAATTAAAATGTATTATTATGGGTGTTTGATTTTTAGTATATAATTTGTTTGTTTTTTTCCCCTCCCTAAGATGGCAAACACTCTTCCCCAAAGGAGTACATCCAGGGCCAAGGGGAGGGACTTCTGGTGGTAAAGGTCAGTGGTTAAGGGGGTGGGTTCCGGTCCCAAGATGGCGACTAGGGTGTGGAGTACCTGTCAAAGGGTGGGGCTACCCATGCGGCCCTCAACAGCTTGTCAAAACTTTGTAAGCGGCCCTCTGCCTGAAATAATTGCCCACCCCTGGCTTAGACCTTTTGCTTCCCTTCTTAGGTTTCCATTACTAATTTCTAGAATTGATACTAATAGAGGTAGATTTATGTCCTTAGAATGAAAATAAAAAGTTTATTTGGTGACAACTTTGGTATAAGGTGTTGATGGAAAATGTGGTAATTTTGATTCTGGGAGTAATATAACATTCCAGTAGAGTTGACTAAGAGTTAGAACTATCAGCTACTGGAATCTTTGTGCATGTTGGCAGGTGAAATTAATGCTCATTCATATGATATTCTGCCACACTGTAGGTTATAATGTCTTGGCAATTGTGTAGGAGGTAGTAGGTTTGGGAATTATATCACAATGATAGCTAGCTGGCATTTCCAGCACTACAATACTATTTTTAGGATTGCCACCACAGAGAGAAGCAATTCCAAGGAATATGGATTGGTGGAGGGTAATATATAGCTCCTTAAAAGGTTGGAAAAAAGGGTTATCAAATTATCCCTGTTTGTGAATTTTAAACACAAAATGCATGGCCCTTTGTTGTAAACTGTATTTGCTATAGGGGGAACTTCTCATGTTATGAATCACTAGTTTGGAAATGTACTAAACCAAACTTCTGATGAAGCTAAATATTCAACTAGCATACAGTAGTACTGTACTATACAACACAATTGGACTTGGGAGCCAGTTTGAGGATCTTGCCTTTCTATTTTGGGTATGTAGATTTTGACCCATTAAGTCTTTGGGGACGTTGCCAGCAACCTTGCTCCAAATTTGCTCTTTTGTGCAAAAGCTGTGCTGAAAGCTGTATGTTATCTTGACGGATTAACTATATTGCCATATTTTTTCACATACACCACAAACGTTTTCCCTCAAAATTTGACCCCCCAAAATTGGGTTGTATGTATGAAGTGGGAAAGCTGGTTTTCTACCAGAGATAGAAGCACCCTGCTTTGATTCTTGCTGCACAGTTAAGTAGCTATGACCTTACTATTCAGGCAGCTAAAGCAATCAGTTGACTTAACAGCAGATTGTTCTTCACTCCATAGGTGTTCATGATCATCTCCCCTTTTTAAAGATTGTGAAGTTCCCGTAATCAAGCTAATCTTTCTTTGGGTAATTTTGCCTGGCTGCTCCTGGTCTCTCTCCTCCTGTTTCAGTGTCTTGGAGACTCTTTAGCTCGTTTCAAAATCATAGATCTGCCAGTGTAGCCAGTCTTTTAGCAGCAGCCAGGGTTTTAGCTTTTACTTAAGCAGGAAAGGGAGGGTGAGTCAGCAAAAGATTAAACTCTATCCCTGCTCTATTTATCCATAACTCTGGAAAAATATTTTTTTTCTTCATTCTGGCTTTCAAAATTGAGAAAATACAGCACTAAGTGTTGGAGCTAAATGTGGGGACAGCTTCTTTTTTTGTCAGAATATTCTCTTTTTTCAGGTGCTAATGTTAAAATCGTTACAAATAATTTTCTTTATAAAAGGTATATATGGTTATGCAAGGTCAGTTGGGCAAAAGGTCTAGTTTACTTTAAAAATTAGCCAAATTTTGGGGCACCTGAGCAGGTTTTATCATGATTATTTTGATTATTGATGTTGGTCTCTCTCAGATTCTGAAGAATACTCCACCAAATAACTAAGTTCAGACCTTGGTTAAGAAAGAGTTACCTGAGGTGGTTCTAGTTTTTATAGTTTAATAACTTGTTCTAAAGAAGCGTGATAAAAGATTAGAAGGTTAAATCCAATCAATTGTTAATCTATCACTTAATAAATTGTAAACACTATCTCAGCACAAAAAGATGAAAAATTGTCAGTTTTTTACCACTTTAAGCAGGTGAAAAGGACATTTATATTGGTAGACATTTTATCTTATTCAGGACAGACATTCTACACTGACAGCAATATCTCTTATAACAGCTTCCAGCATACCAGATCTCGATCTAAAAAGCTTAAAACTCCAGAGGACGAGAGTGTATCAGCTATGGTTGTTGGTGCAGAAATCATACCCACTGAAGCAGCTACAGATGGCTTCAAGGTCAATGAAAAGCCAGCAGAAAAAGTCAGGCCGGAAAACACAGAAGTGCATTCTGGGGAAGAGGAAAACATTAGTAGAATGCAGCTGGATCAACATTTATTGGATAATTTTGAGGTCTCAGGTGAGATAAGGACTGATTATGTTTCGCTTGTAAGTCGTCGGCGGTTGATATTGGGTTGCCTTAAATCTATGGATGATAAAACAAACATTGTATTGCTCCAAGTGGCATAACTAAACATGCCTATTCAGAAAGTTATGCAGGGAAGTCATGTAAGCTGCAGCATTGTATCAGATAGACATATGATTAGAATGAGAAATTACTTCAGTTTCAGATACTGAGTCAAAAGTAAGACATTCAAAATTATTTTTGTAAAAACTATTTTTTCTAAAAGAAGGACAAACACCACTATATATTTTTAATGAATTCTTTTAATAAATTGGCACATATTAGTAAATGAAAAACATACATGGGAAATTATAGTAAGTCTTTTATCCACTGAAACAGACTGTACGTAACATAGAGTTGGAATACAGTGCTTACATTGAAGTAAGAAACTAGCTGTACTTATTATAAAAACAAAAAAAAGTGCACAAAATCTCCTATTTCCAAGTATACAGAGGTTTGCTAAGGTACCTGAGGGATGTCTCCCAGCATGTGTGCTTCCTCTGAGTAAGTTACAGAAGCAGTGGGTTAGCCCAGACATGATCACTTTCTACATTTTTCTTATCCTGGTTTGATGCTGAAGCCTGTTCTTGGGAATTAATTCCCTGTACTAATTCTGAATTTTTCTGTAATCATTCTTGTCAGTGCTACTTCAGCACATTCTTAGCTCTTAATTAGTTGATTTCGGTTTGGCACCAAAACTGCTCTTCGATGAAAATAGAGTATTTCCTTTAGGCCCTGGCATGCATGTTGATCATGCTAATTGTGCCTGTAACAGAGCAGCCTGGCCCTTTAAGGGGGCAGGCAACTGTGTTGTAGGAGGCCAGCTTTGGGTATTTAGGTAATAAGGAAGTATTCCTCTAGGAGCTTAAAACCCCAGAAGAGAGAGTAGAGAGCAGCACAGTTTGCAGGCAGGAGGTAAACTAGAACCTGATAAGTTTGCTACCAGGAAAGGGCTATACTAGTGTTCTGGGCCAGAGTCAAAAGGTCCTCCTGCTGCCTGGAGAATGGCCAAAGGCTTTTTTTGCTAGTTTGTTTGATGTAAGGACTGAGTTTTATATTTTAAGCACTGGCTGAATTTCTTCTAAGGAAGCAGAGCCAGCTTAGGGTTACCAGTTCCCACGTATGCGCACACTGCACAAACTCTGTCTCTCTTACCTGGGAGTTTGCCAGGTCCCGTGTGCAGAGCATGTGACCCCTGATAGCCAGTCACCTTGCCTGCTGTCCCCAGCTGCTAGTGCCCAGGAAAACAGAGGAAGAGCAAAAACCTGGATGTTTGCTCCCATTTTAAAAACTCACCCAGACACAAGGGGGGGGGCAAAAAGAGGACGTGTCTGGGAAAATCCATATGTCTGGTAACACTAAGCCAGCCTGCAAAACCACAGGCTCACTAACCTGCTTACGGTGTCATAAATGGCAACATCACACATTCAGAAAATTTATGGTGCTGTAAAGTGACAAACCAGCCACAAAGATATTCCATATAAAACATAGAATGTTTGTATGGCATCATAAATGGAACATGAGGCATGCTCCAACACCTCAATGCTGACCATCAGCTGATGGTTAACATCAGAACCTGGGCAGCCCTGGTTCTGTAAGCTGTCCAGAGCTATCCCAGTCCTGATGCCAACAATCACTGACTGTTGGCCCCAACCCTGACCCCAGACTTCCCCAGTTTTGAGAGTACCTCTAACCCAAACCCTGTGGATTGGGATTTGAGGAATTTTATGCCACATCCCAAACACTGTGCATCCTGTTATGCACACTGGGCATAGGACGACAGCAATGTTTGGGATGGGATAGAATTCCTCACATCTCAATTGTGCCATTATTTTAATGTCTGTCAAGGGCTTTATTGGCTAAATTTAACAATCTTTGGCTATACCTAGTCGCTCTTGGTATGTGGGAGTAACCAGCACAAGGTGAATGTCCAAATATGACATTGGAGAGACTACTGATGCTTATAAGCATGGATTGAAGATTTACTGTGCCCAGCCTAATCCTCATTTTCAATCGTGCTGAGCACCGGGAATTTAAATGACTCATAGTACTGAAAAGCCACTCCTTGGCTAGGTGTCACACTGTCAACATTCAGTGGGTGTACAAGGTTTTTAACATAAGGATCAGTCTGTTTGTCTTTGGGCAAATAAAAGATGGGTATTTGGGCCTTTGTGGAAGGAGCTCATTGGCATACACAGCAGGAAGTTCAGTAATATGTTGCCTGTATGATTCTGGGGCTACATATTGGTAAATTCTACAGATCTTCATCTTAATAAGAGCTCCTTCAGAAACCGAATGTTTGAAAGCAGTTTCAGATTGCCAGAAAAAAGAAAGAAATCTCTTCCTTTATCTCTTAGATGCAGAATTCTTCTTCTCCAAATTACCCAGGCCCAATTCCCAAAATATGAAAATCTTAATCAGGGTTCGAATTACTCTTTGACTCTAGGGGGAGGAAACGGGGTCTTAGTTTGAGGGGGTTGATTTTGGGGGGGGGATTTTGTAAAAATTCTATTTCTAAGATACCATATTTCACAGTGTATAGGTTGACTCCTGGCTTTCTGATTTGAAGGGTAAGGATTTTCATAGGCATGGTGTATAAGTTGCAGCTGGGCTTAGTGCTTGGCTGGCGCAGCCCCATCCCCTGTGAGTGGAGCTCCTGGTGCCACTTGCAGGAGAAGGCGCTGTACCAGCTAAGCATTGAGCCCATCTCTGTCCCTGTCCCCATGTGAGTGGTGTGTCCCCAGCCAAGTGCTCAGCCCAGTCCCAGCCCCATCCTCTGTGCTACTCACAGGTGCTGGGACTGGGGCCGGGCTCAGCACTCAGTTGGTGCCGCCCAATCTCCTGCAAGTCGTGCTGCCAGTGCTGCTCACAGGGAATGAAGCTGTGCCCACCGAGCCTGTCCCTGTCCCTATCCCCTGTGAGCAGTGCCAGGCTCATAGGGGTTGGGGCTGCACCAGCTGAGTGCCAAGCCTGGCCCTGTCTGCTTTGAGTGGCACTGCTGAATGCCAAGCCCAGTGCCACTTGCAGGAGGCGGGGCTGGATTCAGTGCTTGGCTGGTGTGGCCTCATCTCCTGCAAGCAGCACAAGGGCTCAGTGTTCAGCTGGTGTGGCCCCATCCCCTGTGAGTGGTGCTAGTGTGTCCCAGGCAGCACCGTTCACAGGGGATGGGGCCATGCCAACTGAGCACCAAGCCCATCCCCGCCCCTTGTGAGCAGTGCTGGGCTTGTTGCTTGCTGCCTGGGCCAGTGCTGAGCCCACACTGCTCACAGGATGGGGATCGGCTTGGTGCTCAGCTGGTGCAGCCCCATCCCCTGCGAACAGTGCTGCCTTGGCAGGGGATGGGGCCACACCAGCCAGGCACTGAGCTCAGCGCCCCTCTTAGGGGATGGTGGTATAAGCCAAGGTTGAATTTTAACAGTTAAAAATTGGACTTCAGACCTCAACTTGTATGCTGTGAAATATGGTACTTTTTATATAACATTCTGTATATTACATATAAATTATATTGAGCTGGTGTGGCAGAAATATTTTTATTACTGTCCCTTTAGGATAAGCTCTTCAACCCAACTTGGGTTCCGTTCCATGGAAATGACACCAGCCAGACTATTTTAATATTCTTTGTGTAGTGCGCATGAAATTAACTTTCAGCAACACTGAAGTCCAAAATTACTCACTCCAATTGTTCAATTTTTTATGTCAGTGGTGCTGTTTTCCTAATATTCTTAATATTTCTTGCATATATTTATTTAAATATCCTAATTTTAAGTCATTATTTCTTGTTTATTTGCAGATTCTTTAACAGGCAGAATAGGTATAAGTTCAGTGCAATATGCCAGCCATTTATAAATGGGTATTTCACCAAATAGTCAAAGTTTCTGTAAACTCTCAGAATAATTGTGCAATGTGAATATTGATGACTTCAAGTGATACAAACATTCTATGTCTAGCTGTTCAAATGGAATGAATATGCCAGTAAAAAGAAAAACAAGATTAAAAACAAAATTTTTTATGCTGGACATAGAGGAGTAGCTGATAGACTCTGCACCATGGGTAGCAGACTTGTTCCTAATATGGTTTGTGCCTTTGTACTGGAATGGAGGCAGTGGATCTTGAGCCTCTGGCTGTGCAGAGCAGAGCGGAAGCAGTACTTTTTTGCAAGAGGAGATGTCACTTCCAACAGCCAGGTTAACCCTCCTCTGACTCTGCATTCACTGCAGATCATATGGTAATAGAAGATCCAAAGCTCTTAATTTCGCAGTGGCTGCAGGGCCAGAGAAGGGCTAACCTGGCTCTTAGAGGTGACATGTAATAGCTCCGTTCACAGTAGCAGTGTCTTCCAGGGGAGGGCAGGGGGCTGGTGAGGGGATTCCTGGCCTTGCTTGACTCTGAGCAGCCAGAGACTCAAGCCCCCCTAACTTCACTATGGTGTTCCCTTTTACTGAACACCTGGGGCTTGTGCCCTGGTTGCCTCCCCTTAGTTATGCTACTGCGAAAGTTTGTCACCTTAAATAAGGGGTGCTAACCTGTAGCATGCATGCCACTAGTGCCGTGCAGTAAAGGGAGGTGCTGGGGAGTGGAGTGGAGAAGGGGCAGGGTGCTGCTGGGAGAGGAGTTGTCACTGTCAAGAGCCAGGTTAATCCTTCCCTGGCCTTGCAGTCACCACTAAATTCATGGTTTTGGATCCTTGTTCACCATATACAACTATAGCAGCTACATAGCCAGGGAAGTGTTAACTTGGCTCTTGGTAGTGGCTTGAGGCCCCCTTGCCTCCATTCTGTTGCATCTGTCAGGTACATCTTTGGAGAGGGAAAGGGATACGAGTGGCACTTGGGGATGTGGGGAGTGGCGGGGAGCATCTTAATTTGATAACAGAATGCTATAGAGGATGGCTATAATGCTATAATGAATGGCAGGCAATGTTTTGAAACTGAAATTCAATTCAGATAGCTGTGAGAATGATGTATACTATTAATAATATAATGTGAAATTTATTAATAAAACTGTATGTTTTTGAATTCTAGGGAACATCGGTTCAAACTCTGTTATAGGACATATTCCTGAAGTGCAGAAAATAAAAACAGAAGCTGAGGACCAGGCAGATTCTGGTGTTTCTTCCTTTACTCCAGAGGATTCTGCTAGGCTCTCTGTACCCACATCTGTCAGTTGTATAAAAGGCGATGACTCTGTAAAATCTCAGAATCAGTCTGTGCAGCCTATACCATGCCAAAAGTCAGAAGAATATGCTTCCTCTGAAGCAGACAGCCTGGAGAAAGAGGAAACTAGTAGTATATCCACAGAGGACTACATCAGTGACCTAGACAGCAGTGAAAGCAGTGAAAGTAGCTTGGAACCTGGAGAAATACTTGGTGTAAAAAGGAACAATGGTGGAAATAGTTCAGAAACACCCAGTGTATGTGAAACACATTGCATCTCTTTTTTAATATATTCTCAGTCGCATGAAATGGGCATGAGCTTCTTTCTAATATGACCGGATATACTAAAGTCTTAAGTATATGCTTAACTGAAGTCTGTGTAAAGTCCTATTGATTTCAGTGGGACTAGAGCACCTGCTTAAAATGAAGTACATACATATATGTTCTCCTGAGTAGGAATGCTTTTCTGAAATAGCACCCCAAAGCTCCTTTTTCTCTCTTGTTTTGAATGTGGGTAATCTGATACAGGTGACACTGAATTGTTTGTTGGTAGCTATGGTAGATACTCCCATTTGCACCAGCTGCATGAGTGGAGAATACCCAGCCTGTAATAATACTTGGAAACTTGGTTAGCAGTGTTGCAACAAAATCAAAATGAAGAAAACTTATTCCATAAGTGCATATGCAACTACCTAATTTATTATAAGAGGTTGGAGATTTGAGAAAAGAAAGTTTAATGTCTTAAAATAACTATGGAAAAGATTAGTCATTTATCACGATCTTATACCCCACAAATAGGCGAGGAATATTGCTACACAATTGAAATAGGACATTGTCAGGTATGCCACAATCAAGCTCTTTCTGCTACTCTTGGGTGCTTATATATGAGCAGGGAGGTTGCTCCAACACTCTGGAATTCCAGCATGGAGGAACAAACTCAATTAATGGAGTCTGGAGTGTGGCAATTACCACTCTCTAGGAGCTTCTTGCATCTCGTGCTTCAGAATTGTGGCAGGAGAGCTTTAGATTAAGTGCCCCTGCTGCCATTTTGAAGTGTTGGGATGCTGATACACGAGACGCACCAGGCATTTTAATTAGAGTGGCTCTGAGAGCTGCTCTAATTAAAGCAGCCCTGCCACCCCCCAGAGCATCTGTATAAATGCCCCTTGATGCATTTGACATCCCAAAATGGGATAATCCTGTGGTTAGAAAAGCTATGTCAGTTGTATGCTGTATTACATAAGATATTCAGGGAGATGTCACAAACTGCAGCACCCTCCTGCCATGTGTTAATTGCTGGCAGATGACTAAAGTTAGTTCATATCATGTCTGAAAAAAAGTATATACAGCAGTTGCAACCTTGCCCATCTCCTTACAGAAGCTTTGTTGTCATACTCCAGAGGGTGTCACCAACCTAATGGAAATAGTTGTAACATTGTCTGGAAACATTTGTGGCTTTTCAGGCTTTGGCAAGATATTTTTCGACTTGTGTAATGATAGAAGGCTTTGAAGCCTTCGTACATTTATTATCTGAATATTCATAAACTAAAATAGAATTTGATTTCTTGGAGGGTTTAGGGCCTAAGACGTGAATCTTAATGGCTCTATATGCCTGCAATGTGTGCCATTCTTTCACCTTTTGGTGCAATTGATTGAACTGAAGGAAGGTAGAAATACTGCCTGGAGGAAGGATTTTGGCTTTTTTTCCTTCAAAACTGCTTTCTCATAGAAGAGAGAGATTGTTTTACTGTTTTCAGATGTTTTCAATACTGCTTAATTCCCATTCCCTCAAAAGTTCCCCCTTGAGAATTTTGAAGTAGCCATCATCTTGTCTTGTAAATCCACTCTCTTCATCTTTAATTAATATGCACTTGTGGTATTTAAAGTCCTCAATCTATTAGAAAACCTCAGAGCAACACAGGATGCAACAAAGAACGAAGCAGCAGAACAAGCAACTTTGCTAGAGTTTGCAAAATTCTTTTTTTTTTTACTTTGGCTGGCATGGAATACATTTTATGTATTTGTTAATAAAAAGATAGTGTTTGAGAAGCATATAGTTAGGGAAGTAATTCTAGGCATTGCAAAGGAAGTATCAACTTTTTCCTGAGAGAATACTGAATCTTCCTATCAACTGCTCCGAAATCTTCCACTGATGAAATTAGTGGGTCCTTAAAGACTTTGGCAATAGCTATGCCCACTTTTGAAAATTTAATATATTTAGATTACTCTTCTATATGGAGTAAAATCTTTGCATCTTCCTGTTAAAGCATCTGCAGTCATTAGGAAACTCCCATTCTGAATTACCTTATCTGAATCTTCTTTCCCAGTAAGATGTACTTCTTTTGTCCTGAGAGAAAATCTAATTTTGTCATTTTGCTAGCTTTGCAATCAGGATTTTCCTCAAGTTTGTCTAGTTGTTGAGCCAAGATCTTGTGTATTCAGAATTTTCCATAACATTTAGCAGGGAGAAGGGTCTGTCATGAGCTTCCTTCTCAAATTCTGCCTCAGCAAGCTTATTTTCCTTCAGCCAAGAGGTGAATGAAGAATGGGAACATTTTATTTCATTTTTGTTAGATTTACTTTAGTTAAACTGTGTCTTTTTTACTCTTGTTGCACAGAAAAAAAGAGAAGGAGATATATTGCTTTTTGTAGTGTATACAGAAAGCAATATAGTGAATTTTGGGGCTGATTTGAGAGCTCGCTCTACTGTTTAAAGGGATATAAACTAATAGGAAGTGAACAAAGATTGGTATTTTGTTTTCCTTGAATCTTTGACAGAAGATCTGAGGAGAGCTATATACTTCTAAAGGGCTGTCTTTACATGGAAAAATAGCTAAATTGATTCCATGCCAGCTAAAGTTAACACATACATTTCATCCACATTGTGCTAAATACTGCTTAGCTCTCAGAGGAATAACTTTTTGATCCTTTACAGTATGTTTTAAGACTCGATAAAGATTGCCTGTTCGCTTTTGTTGTTACTTTGACTATAGAGGGAAGGGGTTTGGGCTAGAGAAGGGTTGATAAATGGTCATCTGAAGATATGTGGCCAGGAGATTGTATTTGGACTTAGGACTACAAGAACTGCCCCAAGCCCCTAGACAGTGGGAGGAATGTTGTTTTAGGGAGAAGGGGGATCCTTGATTTAAGGATCCCTAAGCAAGATGATGATCAAAAGCCATCAGCTGACATTCAGTAAGAGACAAGGGCATCCACTTAAAATTACAGCAGAATAGACTGGATCCTATGAAGGAGTAGCTATCCAAGGGTATAGGCAGAGGTGTAGGTGACACATGTTAAACTGGTCCACATACTCTGCTGGTTCCCTCCAATGAAAGATCTGATGTGGTCTCATGATTTTTCTAAAAATGAGAATGAAGAATAGCTATGGGGCATCATGGTTGAATCAGATGAAGATAAGGCTCTTTCTTTTTTTTTCCTTAATTACATGAGCTGACGAGACTTTCTTTTGCTCTCTGTCAGATTGCAGCCATTTTAGTGGAAAATATGCTTGGCTTCTCCTTCACTATCTCCAGGGTTAGCATAAATCCCCTCTTACAAAATCAATATTATTTTTAATTTTATAAACAGTGAATTTAGTAAAATTTCTTCTTTATGCGCAAAATGCATCATTTCTGTTTTCTTGTGCTGTGATAAGTAGGAGTGTCTTGGAGAAGCAGGGGTGTAGGTTGTAGCCGTGTTGGTCTAAGGACATAGGCAGACAAGGTTCTTTGGGTCAGTCTGATATCTTTTATTAGATCAAATTAAATAGTTGGAAAAAAGTGTTAAGAAAACTTTCGGGTTTAAAAACCCTTCATCAGCCTGAGGAAGTTTCTGCAGTTGATGTGTGCTCTTCCTGGATGGAATGACCCCTCAATTTACATCTTCACTGACTACCTGTCTTGTATGCATACCAGCCCAGCCTCTGGCTTCTTTACTTTTCATTCCATCCAGGAAGAGCTCACACCAACTGCAGAAACTTCCTCGGGCTGACAAAGGGTTTTTAAACCCGAAAGTTTTCTTAACATTTTTTTCCAACTATTTAATTTGGTCTAATAAAAGATATCAGATTCACCCAAAGAACCTTCTCTGCCTTGGAGAAGCAGAGCACTTGTTAGGGCTCGATGAAAAGAGGAGGCATGTGTGGCTATTTGGGCGATCGGAGAAAGTGCACCTGCCTCATACCCTGGCAGATAAGAGGGAACAACCCACTGTTGGATTGCCAAGCTACAGGGAATATATTTAAAAGGTAGAAACAAAAAGGCACTTCTCTTCTTAAAAACATTACTTTTTACAGAGATGTGAGATTTAATGGTCCTGACACCAGTCCTCCCATTGTAATAATGCAGAACACTGTAAATGTCTCTTCAGGGTTATAATTGCATATTACAAGCTATATTTAATTTATCAGTTTGGGTAACTGAGCCATTCCTAGGTGGCTTTTCAAGTATTTTCCAGCACATTTGCATGCTCTTTCAGTCTGGCTGTTGCACAGAAGGATATTACTCAGTTACCATTTAAAAAAATCCAGTTTTCTTTACTTTTTTATTCAGCTATGTCCATTTTTTGTTGTGGACCATATGCTTAATGTAGCAAAAAGTATGTAGCTTTTTGATGCAGTACTTGATATTTTACAATATGGTTTCATAATTCAAGAGACTTGGCTGCTTCTTTTTGTGTCCTTCAAATACCTCTATATTTTCCAAAATTGGGTGCATGCAATGGTCACATCTGTAGCCCTGGCTAGATCCTTGGTGTTACAGAGCTCTTCCAATGATATACAGACCTTTAGATGTTCCATGTACTTGGTTTACCTACATTCATATGCGTCTGTGTCACTAAAATAGCCTGTTTTTTCATGTTATCTTTTCTCCTGACATTTGGAGAGTTTCAGTTATCTCCAGGTTGGTCAGTTTAAGATGAGATGTTTGTACAGTTTGTAAAGAAGACATACTAGGGATGTTCCCTGAACTTCCTTCCCTGGTTTTAGGAGTATTACAACATAAGATTGTAATTGTATCTTAGAGACTTTGTATGTGGTTGAACATGCATAGAACCCAGTACCCATAACCAGGCTTAGCTATTGGTCCCAAGTGCTTTCCAAAAGTCACCAGGATGCACCTGGTAGGTTGTGCTTTGTGAGTTAAGGAGGATTCTGTAGTTTCTGGGACCCTGGCGAAAGCAGGAAAGGCATAGTACTACGCCAATGGCACCATTGTGCTCTTGTATAATACAAATGCATGGGCTGAGATGGACC